GTATTCTCTACACTGTATTGTTTATGAGAATAAAACATCGTTGTCATTGATAGACTTCGTGAACGATCTCGGTATCTGGACGACAGATTGCCGACCTGGTAATAAGGATGTTAGATTTCCGATTTAAATGATATGGACAACACTCACGAGCCGGTCATATCGACAGCAGAGCAACGACTTGGTCAAAACGGACGACAAATGGACAACTTATATAGTAGTACGGACGACAGACCGCCGATTTAGGAATACGGACGAATGAAGAACCATTTCACTTCAAATTTGACCTTAAAAACGAGCGCAGACATCATCTCTCTTTAAAGAGAGATTGTGAACTTCCTCATATAAACGGAAGTTTGGGGCGATCTAGTCATACCGACGACATACCAACAACTGAAGTCATACGGACGACAGACTGACGACTTTTGATATGGATAACAGTCTGATGACAGCCGGACGAGTCAGTCTCACGATGAACGACGGACGACGTATTCCTACAATAGGAGGAGCATGCAAACAGATGATAGACCGATGACTTAGTCATACGGGAAACAGATTGACAAGCCATACGAAGGACTAGGACATGTGATCCAGACTTGTCCAAAATGCCACCAAACACAGACTAAATACCATCAAGTCCCAACCAAAGTTTGCATCGATCCGAGTCTTTGGAATTCAATAAGCGCACATTGAGTATCTCTCTGTTACACGCTAAACCTTTATACAAAATTCTCTTCCGAGGAATTGTCTCCGCATACAAATAAATCATGTTTGGATATTTATCGGAAAAGGTTTTACACCTCTCTTCGGTCTCTTGGGCTGAACAAAAAAAAAAGAAAAAAAAAGAAAAGAAATACCATCATTGTTTTACCGGATCGCAACGAGAGGGTATATAAGTCAACTGTAATATTAATCATCCGATGGAAAATTGTTAGCGGATGTGGATGGGTCAAATCGGCATCACTACAACCAAAAAACGTACTTCGCATGTCCACATGTAGCAACAGAAGTATAGTCAATTGTTCAGGAAACCTCAAATTACAAAAAACAAAAAAACGTTTTTTGAGTACCGACATCCACATGTTTGCTAAAATTTATATGATTATTATTGCAGTTTGGAGTTTCAACATTTTAAAGTGAGAGTTATTTTATGCGTCTGATATAATGACAAGTTTTAACAAAAAATCCTATTTTTTCAACTCGGGTCCATTAATAATGTCTATAGTTTAAACAAAAATATTTAATTTTTCAACTAGGATTCCTTAATAATGTCAATTCGTACATGTACATGTGTAATATGTATAGTCGCGCGCCTCATGCACGCCAGGAACACGTGCTTTTCACGTGAGAAGAAACACTCGAAGAACAATTATGTATCTTACGCTATATGTCGACATTGCCATGAGAACCGATTACACGACTTGACGAAGAAAGACAAAATTCGGTAGCGTCGACGCTTTTAATCTTCGGGAACACTTATATTCGCGATTGTACTCCAAAAGATAAGTTATTGTTCGCTGTGGTCTGACAGCAGGACAGAATAGACCAGCGCTACTGTTACATTACTTTTACCAATGCATGCAATCGTCTGCAATTCAGGCTTCGATCTTGATCGTTGTGAAGATTGTTTTTAATTTTCCGGTTTTCAACATAGAGTGCGTACAGTGAAACCTGACAAAACCGAACTTCAAACGAACCGTTACTATTGGTCGTATTACACAGGTCTCTGGAAAATACAGGATGATTTTTTATCGACATCTAAAATAATAAATCGGGGTTTTTCGGGGGAGAGGGGGGGGGGGGTTACAAATATTGCTTTTAGATAGAAAAGGGTACAGCTTAGCACCTTGTTGCGTCCTCTTTAAACGAGTTTCCGTGTCATACAGGTCCGACGTACATTGTAATGGTCGAATTTATTGCAATTAAAAACCTAAATTTATGTAGAAATGTATGTATACAGTACAGAATCTTCTTGCATGTCATCTTCAGATGGATTTCTTGACTTCATACTTACAAAAGGTTTTATTTACACAGATATAGCGAGGGGCGTTTCTTTGTATTTAAACCGGATTCCGATTAGACAAATTACACTTTAATAAGTAGTAAACTTTCCTTATTTAGATATTTCTACAGCGTACCTTCACGTATTAATATCTTAAGCACACAAGTCACGCTATACCGGCAACTCTAAGGTATATATGACTGATCGTCGATAGGAATTGGAAGGTATACGTTTTTCGCCTTCGGTGTTTTAATGTTCTGCTTATACCTTTCTGAACATGGCGTTTAACATTTGTGATATTTACACGTTTAAACTATTTATAACATTTCAAAACAAGCCAACGGCTATACAATTGTAACTGTCATAAATAAGAAGATATAATTTTCTGTATCACTCTCGAGGTGCAAGGTATTATTATTGCTGTGCAGGAAAGATATTGTGTAGGGATCAAGATAAGGAAGTAGCCATTGGCGTTTTACATTTTGAAAAGTCCTTAACCCTGTCACCCCTATGTACTCTTTCATGCATTGACCGGGAGGAGTCCATTATGGTCTACAGTGGTGAAAGGGTTAATAACATATATTTGTTCCTAAACAAAGTGTGTCCTCATTTCTATGACGACGACATTTTCAGCAAAAGCTATGTTAAACAAAACTGTCCGCACGCATTTTTCAATGTAGGGGCTTTATTTTTATATTTGAACATATCTGCAAGTTTAAGACCGTCGAAATTGTAAATATTGTCCATTTTGTAGACAAAATACGTAAATTAGGGACAACTCGAGTTTGAAGTCCTTATTTCCAACCAATTTCTCATCACGTTCTCATATCGTACGAACTTGACGGCGTCGCCTTTTCAACAAGCGTTATCGTCGGCGAGGGCGAATTCATCTGGCATTAAATACGTACACAGTTCATCATGCATGAGATTTCCATTTCCAGCACTCTCTCATATCTAAAGATTTTACATTTTTTTCATTTCCGGGCGCGCTTTTGGTCCAGATGCACGTTAATTTGGAGAGGAGATAGAGTACAGGATGTTCATTGATATCTCTGTCTTATTATAATATTCAAGTTTAATTGATACGCTGAGATAACCGCAAAGTCCTTCGGATACAGCTAGTGATGCATCGCTGAAGATAGGAGTATTGACTGGGAATGAGGGGGAGGGGGTGTAGTAGGACCAAATCTCTTATCTTTGTCCTTGTAACAGTCAAACGTAATTTGTTCCCGAGAAAAAACAATCATTTTACTATTTCTATTTTTTAATTTCAAAATAACAACGGAGGGGAAAAGCAGGTAAGATATTTCCATGAAACGTATTAATTGAATTAGTTAATAAAACAACGGACGGAATATCATAAAATATCACTGGAAGATGAACTGATCGCCATGAAGTTCTTTGGTACGATGCTTATCCCTCTGATCAAACGATTATCAGATATACCGAGGATTTACTCCTTTAATAGACATTTACGAGTACAAGGGGGGGGGGTCTCCTCAGAAGGATAAAGATCACAGATTTGAGTAAATCCACGACAGTCTTGAACATCCACGTACATCCCATTGAACTTTGCCACACGTTGGTAATCACTCAATCAATTATACCATCCGCAATTAATTTATTCTCAAATTGACGTGATACCTGCCGAAAATACAGAGGGTACAAATTCAATTATCGGCCAATAAGTGGCCCGATTTGTTTAAATTCTCCAGGTTCTTTTGTTTTCAATGTACTAACTGACTTGTTAAAATCCCATCAGAATCACAAGTGAGCAAGCCCAAGCTTGTTCGTCTTTATATCAATGAAACTAAATTTGATCTCACTGCTACCAGGGAAAATATTTTTCCACCGAAAAAAATAATCAAGAAAAATAAATGACGAACCGTAAATTTCCTCTAGCCCAAACTGCGCCATTTAATCAATAACTGCAGAATGCCAACACAACCAAGCATGCCACGACACTAGTAACAATAAGCGAATCCTCATCGCGCTCATATTCCATGCAGCCTTCCCTGAAACCATCCGGTCTTATTAAAGCTGAGATGTAAAAGCTAATAAAATAAACCCGAAACCATCTGTTTCAAGGCTGATAATGTTATCGGCTGATCTATTCAAATACGATTATTCTTTTTTGTGACTCCACAATCCAACAATTCCAGGCAAGGGTAATCCAGTTTCCAACGTGCATTTAAACTCGCACAGGGAAGTATTTGTTTACTAAAGCACATATTTTTATATATCATAAAAACGGACATCCATATATATATACATTAATATATATATAATATATATATATATATATATATTAATTGCAGTGTGGTGTTATATTTAAAAACCTTTGTATGTATTTATCAAATAAACAATGCTTTTTCACGTAGACTACTTGCATACTAAGGTTACAAACGCCATTACAACAACGCCGACACATATATCCCGTCGGTGTAGTGTGTGTAAAATCCCACGACAAATGCAGCTCTATTCACGGAGTTTTATCGAATAAATGTTTAAATGTAGCACCCAGTGTATACACACACACACACACACATGCATGCAAACACACTGTGCATGTATCGGCCGGTGGCGAGACTGTGTGCGTGGATGTCATACGCTACACATAAAATATCGTCTGCTCAGAAAAGGGGGCGGAGCTTACTCGTGGCAGAATGCCAATACATTTACATATAGCTGATAAATTAATTAAGAAAATTCAATGCGAATAAATGATTATAAAATCTACCATATCGAAAATACGAGAAGTAAAATATACTTGATATATCCCGACTGATATCCGAGTTACACGTTTACGTTCCCATTTATAAAATGTCAACAACCACAGGCAATACCCTGCTTCGTCTGTCGGCCGCCATATTGTTGAGATACACACAGAGCCGTTCCGCATAACTTCGCATCGACAGAGTAAATATAAAATCTAGACTTACTACAGACATTTGTTCAAGAAAAACTCAGATATAGACAGAAAATATAAATACAAAATTACCTGTACAACAAGAAAAATTTGCCTCCAGCTTGAAACGCCGTAATCCTTGTGTTTACACGGCGAGCTTCTCTGTAGGTCGCAGTGAACGGCTGTGATACCGATAGCTCTAGGTGAAGTCACGTGACCAGCGGTAATTTATAAGGCTAAGCTTCGATAAGAATAGTACAAAAACCGTGCGGTGTATATTAGCATGGTAATGTAGGCGACGAAGCAGCTCGATTTGAAGAGAGAAAAAAAACTATAGAGCGTGATTTGACATATTAAACAGCATGTGTAAGGTTTGGCCCTGATTACATAAGTTGGAATTTGAACCTTAAAACTCTCGAATGAAATTCTTTCCTCGTTGAGGTGCTTGGAGATCGACAAATCGTGGGTTGTTTGTATTATAAATTGCTCTTAAAAAAAAGTCAAAAGTCACGAGAAAACGAACTATTTATACACCATATAACGATTTCTTTAAGGAAACAGGTTCTAATTATCTATCTCATTATCATCTCAATTGTTTTATGATTTTATTTCCCCCCAAGTAAATAATACAAGCAAATGTCTTATTAAGAAACCCAAATAATTAATTCTACACGTTTCTTTTTACAAACAAATATCTCAGGGAGGAAAATGAATTACTATAATATTCCCTAATGTAAGCTATACTCCTTGTACGGTTCAGTAAATACAACTAGTATTCATATACATGTCATAAACTGGTCATTCTGGTCGTGCATAATTTATTAATAAAACTATGTTTTTGATTTAAGGAGACATCGTCCCTTTAATACGAGAAAGAAAGTCCTTGACTATAAGTTACTATCACGGAAATATCACGATACTAGCCATCAGATTGTTCCTACAACTGTTACTACGTGACCTTTGACTCTTAGAAAGGGCATGTTTAATTATAGTAACAAACCTTTTAATTGACTGTTTCACTTCCCCTATCCTTTTTTAATTTGTATCTTTATAAATATTTAAAGAATTATGCATAATGACGTTTGTTATACAAGTATATATATATATAAAATATAATTTCAAAAGCGATGACAATGTCAAAATTTGATATATTTTTAACATGCATATCATTATGTATACATGAGAAAGATCGTTATGGACCTTGCGGATTTAAGACTTAGTACAAAGGAAGACACTTAAAAGAACTTGTATAGATTTAACTCAACTCTTAAAAATATCACTGAATGCATTTTATTTATTGTTTCTTTGACGTTGTCTAGAATAATAAGGCCTACATTTTGTTTAAAAATCAAACCCGCTTTTGAATTGAATTTGTATATGTGTGTGTGTTTGTAGAGTATTTGACTCGCAGTAAAAGGGAAGTGGGAAAGATTTCCCATCTGACTAGCTATTTTTACTTCAAATGATTTCGAGACCGGGTCAAGTTTCCGGAATTAGCGTGTTTTATAGCCGTACATAGATATCACCATGTACGTAATCATTTTAGAATTTTCCTTTAGATACCAACCTGCCTGTATCAGTAAAATATCCACGTCATATATCAAGCTGTACACAACCCATTACAATGACGTCATCAGTTTTAGTGGAAGATCTACGATTATCTCAAGATTGCAGTACATTGTAATCGTTCTCACAAGTTTGGGGTTTTAAAATTGTGTATCCTTTAGTTTATCTCTTAACTCCCCTGTTATCCATATTATATATATATATGTCATATTTTGTCATCAGTGACTGGCTTAATATGACATTTAATTCAGACGTCAGATTTGTTCCAAGTTGACGCATGAATTAAAATCAATAATCTGACGTCATCGATATTTAATGATTATAATTGGAAACTTGAAAACGCGATTTGTTTTCAGATCATTCAGATAAAGCCCTGCTTGTGGTAAATCTTAAATTCTTTCCATTTCAATTAGATTTTGAACCTCATATCACAGATTTCTTATTTGATCGGAAGACCTGGAAACTAAACCGTCGGAAGGTCATTCAATAACTCTCATCAGAAATAGAGACTTATCTATGCTCATTTCTATACGAGATTAAACTTATATTGTTTTGTTTTTTTAGCTTGCAAAAGGCTCTGTAAAACGAAATAATAACACAAAGTCTCGTTCCTTAAATCTTCTACGAAAAGAAAAAATGAATTGTCTTTATTTAAAACGAAAGCAAGACAAATACAGTGAATACTAGTTAAACATTAAATGCGATTATGTAGTTCGTTATCCTATCCGATTTTGTCTTTACTCTCTCTCTGAGTTGTACATTTATCTTCATCACTTTTGCTATTCATTTAAAAATTAATCATTTTTCCCAGTAAAGAAAACTCACAATATCGATGCAGACGATGGTACGATATTTTGACAAATTGATATATATTTTTTAACCTCCATACGACAGATTAAATAATTTTAAGCACAATTTCGAGAAAAATAGCCATTCTGGAATTGGTTGAGTAAAACCTTATAAATTGTCTAGTTTTGATTTTGTTTTAACCAAAATTTGTTGTTGATGATATTTTGTGCTTGAAAACTAAAAATAACTTGAATTTCATTTATTATCATGAAATAAATATTGAACACAGCAGAGTAACCTCTTTGTTGAAATTTACCTTTCATACGTCAATAATGGTCTCCTTGTTCCAGAAGCTTTATGATCGTGAATATCTCAGTTTCGCGATCGTTAACAGATCTGAACATGTATAAACCTGCCGGTCATACTGCTAGCCGACGTTTTATGACATACTTTATACACTGCTCCTAAGTATCATGATCCAAGTATCCTAGTTTCCAAGATATCCTGCGTTCTGTGAACCAATACACTAATTAGCCGTCTACCTTATTGATCCCCATACCACTGACTAAAACTGTAACTAGACCCTTTTTACGACTATAGCTTTCATAAATCATTTCTAAACATAACTAGACTGCAGAACTTGTATAATGCATTAAGATTAAAATAAAAACAAAACAAAAAATAAAAATAAATCACCAATAGTGTACTTGGTGTTAAAATGCAACGGAGCCAGATCATGATTCGAACCCCGAACCGCCGACATTATACAGTCGCACTAACCACTTGAGATTAAGCTTATTAACACCGGCAGTTTACTGACCCTATGTAAATGAAATTAAGGGCTATTACTGTATGTACGCAAAACTGAAATGCAATTCTCTTGTGTTCTACTAGCATTGGAACTTGGATCCCTTAGTCATTTGTTTGGCTTGCATTTCAAATACTGTACAAGATTTCATATTCTAAAATAACGAAAAAATGGTGGTAACATCTTGACGGTTGCTTCATGTAGTGGTGCATGCAACGATCATAAAATCGGCGAATTCCAACAGTAATATGTTCCGGACATTTTGTCGTCATTTTTCGTTTAGGTAACGTAACGTCATTATTATGTCCTCGACGTCATATTTGTAAATACTTTTAAGGTTTTTTTTGTTCGAGAGGCAAGTCGAAAATTAATACGCAGTAATGAAGAGTAATGTCATATAAAAGAAATAGAATAACGATTGCATGGCATTAAGTAAAACGCAAAGCCACCATATACAAATGTACAAGTACGGTATTGCCTATTATTACTATATCTTAACATCCGTTATGTCATTAGGTATATAGTATATCAAAACTGCTCTAATCACAGACAAACAGTTATACCACAAGAGATATATACCCATTGCATTTACCACCTTTCTTAGTGTAAAATGTGTCCGGGGTACGTTTTACTCTATCGCCTTAACAATTCAAAGTAAATCATTAAGGGCTTGTTTAACTGTGTCGACATGACAGACTACAAGAGGCCCAGAGAACACTCCAGAACAGAACGCAACGAACGATGTTCAAAGGGTTAGCGTATTGAGAGACACCCGCTGAGGTTTTCTGGATACATGTATATAGTATAAATAACTCATTACATTTTGAAAGAAAAATCATGACATTGTCCTTTTTTTCAATATCCGCACTATATAGAAGAAATGAATTTTAACTCGACTATCTTACCAAGTTTTCGTGCTAGTAGCCCGACCTTGTGTTATTGTGTGATTATAGATTCTTATTAAATTGAAAGTTCGAAAAAAAACCAGAAAGGGCATCTCGGATTCAATCTACTTAGAATCAAAATTCATTCAAAGTTGTATTAATGAAAATATTGAAAAAGGTGTCTGTCTTGGTGAACGGATATGTAGATATGTTTTTATCTTCGTTCTGGATGTAACATTTCATTGTTTATGTACTTATTATTAAATGTATTATTCTGAATGTTTTTCGTGATCCACAAATGCACAAAACAAAATTAAATGGAGACAATGAAAAGTTGTCATTACTAGAACAACGAAGTATTGAATACACCTTTTACTAAGGTGGCCGGGGTCCGATTCCCCGATCGGACGTGAAAAGGTATGGGGTAACCAGCCCGACCACGTGGGTTGTGTCCGGGTACTCCGGATTACTCCCACATTAAAACCCCCTGCGCGCTTACATCCGAGCCAACAAGATTGATTAGCATAAGTTTAAATTACTTGTTTTATAACTGTTGTCAATTAAATAAAGTTTATATATTCAACAAAGGAAAAATATATTTCCCTTCAAGTCAATGCCAAAAGCAATGCAAATAAGTAACCAATTACCGTACCATATGCTATTTCGTCAATTTAGGACACATCAACGGTGCTAAAAGGTCAAAAGTAACCCGAAACATCTCTGTAGAAATACAGTGAAAAGGTCAGATATTTAGCTGCAACTGATAATTATTTGTTTTATATAAGTATTACATGTAAGCTGTGACAGAATGGTTTCCTGCTACTTGGTTATTTTATGGATCTAGAGTATATTAGCTGGGTCGTCTTCACTTGTGACAAGTAACACTCACTACGAAATAAGAAGACGCCTATTAAAAACTTTAATATGGCGAGGCAGGAAAAAATACATAAAATATAACCGCACTTTATGGGCGCTTTTGCCATTCAAGGTTCATCAGTGGTACTAAAATACAACCATAAACAGATCGCATCATAAAAATGATCTCCTGGCAATCATTGGAGAAGAAATCTTATGGAAGTGTTAAACGTGTTACGGTAGTAAAAAAAATAATGTTCAAAGAGAGTCAAGGAATCAAACTAAATGAAGA